GAATCCTCACAGTACCTATCCCACAAATGCCACAGGATTGATCATTTCCCATGACAACAACACCCTCATCGAGTCTCTCAAACGATGAAAACCAATCTCTCCTAGGAGTCACATGATAAGTAGCGCCAGAATCAAGCATCCAATCCGATGCATCCAAATGGTTCACCTCCGGAGTAATCAAAAGAGAAAAGCTCGAATCATCGGAATCACCGTCTTTCACAACATTCACCTTATTGGCCTTCGGGCCCTTATTCTTGCTATTCTCCTTTTCTTTGACCTTTGGCAGTCTCTCTTCCAATATCCCTGCTCCTTGCAGAATGCACATTGGTTCTTTCCAAGCTGGTGACGACCTCTTGACTTTGACCTTCCTCGATTACCATATTTCGGATATGAGCTTCTATCTCTCGTCGACAAGGTCTCTCCTGAAGTACTAGCGTGAGAAGTCTCATTATCCTTCCTCCTCAAATCATAATTGGTCAATACGTTAGTCACTTCACTATAGCTGATAGAAGATCTCCCGTTCAACAAAGTGAGCACGAAGGTATCATACTCCTCATTCGGTAAGGAGACCAACAAAATAATCGCCTTGTATTCATCCGATATCTTCTCATCAACATTCGCCAAGTCCGACAACAATTTAGTGTAGTTGTTCACATGAGGCGCTAGCGAGGTACCTCTGGACATCTGAAATCTGAAATCTGAAGAGTCTTCGCAGCAAGTGCAACATGTTCTCAACACTCTTTGTGAGATACTTATTGTTGAGAATTTCCCACATCTTCATTGCAGACGTCACCCCAATCACATCATATTTCAGTTCCTATTCCAAACAGGACCTGATCACCCCACAAGCATTCCTATTCATCTTCTCCCATACCGCCTCTTCATATTTAGGTGGCCTCACATCGATCATGATGGTCTCCTCCAAATTTTGAGCATTGAGCGCATCATGTACGTCGCTCATCCATAAACCAAAATTGATTTTGCCGTCATATTTTACTACACTAATCTTAGTGTTCTAAAAACCCACTTGAACTGTACCCGTCATCTTGCTGCTTTCACCAACTTCTTCACTCATAATCATAAACTCCAAATTGCAAAGAAAGATTTAAACTTTATAGAATTTAGAAGTTACCCAACTGAACCCTAGATTGGATTCCAAATAGAACTCTTAACCACACGAGGAAAGCGAGATCTCAATGGTAACTTCAAACCCTAACTCCACCAAAACCTAGAACTCCAAGAACCAAGCTTCCAACTAAATCTTCCTCCATCTAATCCAAAACCCTAGTTCTGAAATCTGAGCTTTGATACCACTTGTCGCGCGCCGTGCGGAAGCGTGCTCGACAACCAAACGAGTCGGTGAGCGATGAGAGAAGAAAACCAAAACCAAACACGAGTGCAATTCACAAAATAACGACCAAAATCACAACCAAACACGAGTGCAATTCACAAAATAACGACCAAAATCACACACAAACACAGAAATTTACGTGGTTCGGCAATTGCCTACATCCACGGGGAGAGGATGGGGAGATTTCACTATATGGAGGAGAAATACAACGGGTTACAACTCACAAAATCACTCAAATATAACCCTAACCAAAGCTCTCAACTCTCTCATAATATCTCCCTCTCAAAGTGCTCAAAACAATGCTAATTCTCTCATTTTCTCTCCTTAAGAAATCCTAAAAAATATGGTCCTATTTATAATAAAACACAATCCCAAATAGATTAGGATTCTAAAAACGAATCTGCCACACCAGGGTGTGACGCAGACCACACCCATGACAGACAAGACAGATTCTGCCATACCAGGGTGTAGCGCAGACCACACCCATGACAGACAGGGCAGATTCTGCCACACCCATGGCAGACACCACACCAGGGTGTGGTAGAGTCTGTTTTGGGTTATTTTTCACGTTTTTCACAATTTCTTCGCCGTTTTCACATGGACTTCATTGCAGTTTCATTTGTCAAGTCTGTAGAAATCACCAATCATCTCAAATGTTACATAGCTACTGGATGTCGGGACAGTGACATTTCAGTGATCGCAAAAATCGAGAGTATTGATTCCTTGAAGAACTTAGAAGAAATCATTCGGGCTTCAGATGGAGCCATGATAGCACGAGGAGACTTGGGCGCTCAAGTTCCATCAGAATAGGTTCCTTCAGCTCAACACAGGGTTGTTAAAATGTGTAGGCAGCTGAGTAAGCCAGTCATTGTTGCTTCTCAACTCCTGGATTCTATGATTAAGTATCCTACACCTACACGAGCTGAAGTTGCCGATGTTTCTGAAGCTGTAAGGCAAAGGGCTGATGCATTGATACTTTCTGGTGAGTCTGTCATAGGGCAATACCCAGAAACAGTTTTAACTGTTTTAAGAAGTGTGAGCCTAAGGATTGAACGATGGTGGAGAGAAGAGAAGCGTCGTGAAGCTATGAAGCTCCCGAATGTGGCATCATCTTTCACGAATAAAATCTCAGAAGAGATTTGCAATTCAACTGCAAAAATGGCGAACAATTTGGGGGTGGATGCTCTCTTTGTTTACACAAAGAATGGTCATATGGTTTCTCTTCTTTCTCGTTGTCGCCCAGACTGCCCAATCTTTGCCTTGACAAGGTCAACATCAGTGAGGAGACGCCTAAATCTTCAATGGGGCCTCAATTTCTTCCGTCTCAGCTGCTCTGATTGCTATAGAAGGTTTCCTACAATGGACCTTGAGACAAGGTCCAATTTAAGGGGAGAGAATTGTCAGGAGCAGGAACTGAAGATGGCGCAGGAGCTGAAGAAGCGGAATCTGTTAACTGAGCAGAGGGCCTTGGAAGCTGAGAACCTGGAGCTGAAGCTGAAGACTTGAAGCTATGGACTGATATACAAGGAATGACTGATACACACAGTAATTGGGAAGCAGGAGGGCAAATATGCAAAGTGGAGGAATAAATGTGCAAAGACTGTTAAATAAGGGTCCTTTGTGATAAGTGTTCGGTTCCAGCTCAACTGCTTAAACTGTTTTCTGTTGGTGCACATGCACAGTCTTGTAACTCAGAGTTTTGTATAAATAACGAAGTGTAAAAATCAAAAGAAACTCATGAATGAATGAATGAAATAGGATTCTGTTCTTCTCAAACTCAAGTCTCTGTTCACCTTCTCCCTCAATTCTCTCTCAACTATCTCAATTTTCTCTTCTTGAAGTGTTTCAGGTTCAATCATGGCCGAATTGAAGCTAGGGGAATCAACAGAGGAACCTCACATAATAATAGATTATAGTGATACGTAGAAACTGGAACCTTAATTTCTAGAATTTTTTTGAAAAGCCCTTACCACAAAGGAAACGCAACGTCAGTCGGTACTCATATTTTTCTTTTTTCCCACCCAAAAAAGAAAAAGAAAGAAACAATATGACAAAGGAGCCAACAACTTTTTCTTTCCCCAATTAAACGTGAAATGATAATTTTGCGTTACTTGTATATGGGAGAAAGTATTGTTTGGTAAAATAACTGCTTAAATTTGAATAGACGCCCAGTTAATTAACCTTGTTCAATGGTAAAGGTGAGTCTTAAGTAACTAAGGGAAGTTAGTCTTTTTTTTTTCCTTTGTGCTTCAGCATGCTTTGTATTTTTGGGATGTTCTGTTAAACTCTTATTAATAGAACGATGGGATCATGTGTTCAACGACCGTCTTTAAAAAAGGAAAAAATGTAACTAACTAATGGAAGTCACATGTAAATACTTAATCCACACTATAATTCCTTAAAAATATCTACACAAACTTTTCTTTAATAACAAAAATTCGGTGCACTTTTAGAGCGTCATTATTGAAGAAAAGCAAGAAATATCTTAGGTAATAAGTCCATTCAGTTTATCATCGAGCTAAATCTTAGCTTACATCAAGCTAAACTTTACTTTTTCAGTTGAAAGTGCCGGCTTTGAAAAGGATAGCCTTGGATTCTTTTATATTTAGTTGACAACTTGGCTTATCCAAAAAATCTTCACAAATTTTTTGGATAAAAACTATGTACTGGGGATTTATTTAGAAAAAGATGAAAGAAAGAGGGTGGAAGCTGTTGTGGGGACTCGGAAGAAACCAAGCAGAAGAGATTATTTGTATCCTGTCCTCATGTGATGAGAGCTAGCAAAGATAATAGCAAGTGGAGCTAAATGTATAGCTCCTTAATCAAGTGGCTAATTAAGGGACTTGCACCCAAAGACTGATTAGCAAACAATAATTGTATCTTCGAGAAAAATGTTTGGGTTATTTGCACGCGCAACTCTATCTCACCTCAGTTCTATATTATTAGTACATGCATCTCCCCCTTTTGTTACAACATGTTTCATTATTAAGTTTTAACTTTTAGTCCAACCAAAAAAGGGAAGTAAGTTTTAGATAGACTCCCTCAATAGTCATGGTTTGGCATTATTTAAGGTCGAAAGTAATACGGTTGTTTGACATCAAAAGTAAATATTTAGATGTATAATATGCGAATTTATGGTTCATGACATCTCAGCTATGGTGCATAATTTAACGCTATAGACATTACAAATATATGAAGGTCATAGTGATCGTCGTGACATTGCATCAATTCATTTCCTATCATTTATTGCTTTTGAATAACCTAAGATTCTCTCCTATATTTCCCCCCTCTGTATATCAATAAATTTGGAACAAGTTTTTCGAGTGAATTTTTTTGGAGCAAGTTACCTTCCTGTTTTCACCTTCCAATAAGTTTAGGATGCATGTTTTGATTTCTGAAAGTGAGTAGATGTATAATAACATTGCTAAATTTTCTTTTCTGATTCTTATTTCATTTTCCACAAATCCGAACTTTGGTTGCCCATGAGGTGGGAGCAAAGATATATAAAATAAGGCACGAGTTTAGTTTTCATTGTTTTAATAATTGCTACAACTGAATACCAAATAGACAAGACCAATTTCTCTCGAATCATTTCTCTTTCGCGGTCATTGAGAGACCACAAATCTAAGCACACTAAGCACATTACCTCTCAAGAGCAAACGTCATTTTCTTTCTTTATCTAAACTTTCACATATACAATACACTTGTCACATAATTAGACAGCCAATATTACAGTTGACATCTCTATGAACAAAAGATCTAATATGTATCTTAGAGATATATAGATCAGAACTATTCACAGTTTTTCTTATGGTTACATACAAGTTATGCAGAGAACGACCCTCCAAAGCTTTTTTGTTCTCCGCTTCATCTTGCTTAATCTTTTAGCTATAAAAGAGAAGAAAAGTTGAGCAGGAGGAGGAGGAACAACCTGAAGCGTGCAATGATCTGGAAGCTCGATTTCGCTGCCTCTCATCGAGTCTCTTCCGTCGCTTGGAGAGTCGAAACTTTGGCCGTCGAAACTCTTGCGAAGATAGAAACTCCTGCTCCCTACTTCTCCAATTTTGTTACTCTTGTTCAAACCTGACAGCAAAAATCTACTTTTACTAAGTTAAAATGATCATGTCGTGTACTAAAGGGTAAGTTGTAGACTCACCTTCTATAATATGTGGGCATAGAGAGAGATAAATATAAAGCTTTTGGGAGAAAATAATTATATCCATCATTACATTGACGTGTTCATAAACAAGAGTAAGAGGAGTGGGTCTAGTATCTCAAGCAATGTGCAATTAAAATAAAAGAATACAAAAGAACCTAACTATAATATTTAACAGAGAGAATTACATGACAAAGAGTTAAAAAGTTTGGCTTAAATTTAGATCAAAAACTAAATTAATCTATCTATAAATTAAAAGCAAAACAGTAATTTATCGTCACATTTGAATCTCATTCTAAAAGAGAAATGGTGTTCTTTGGATTTTAAGTGTGTAAGTAATAGCTAACAACATGGCACGCATTTGCCGTGAGTAGAGACAACTAAACTACAAATTAATTCTAAACTACTCTTGTACTTGTTAAATATAGTTGTATTAGGATATCTGTTTTTTTTTTTTTTAGTCCCACATCGATTAGGATTCTAGAACATCTCCTCTTACTCTAAGCAGTTTAATACAATGAATAAAACAAGTATTTTTCCCTTAAAAATCTGTTTTTTCTCAAAAGTCTCTTCTCTTCCCTAAAGCTCTATTCTTATTATGGTATCAGAGTCATCCAATCAATCCTTTTCTCCTAGTTTGCTCTGCATTTAATATGATATCAAAGTCATCATCTTGATCCCAGAGAAACCTTTTTGTTCTTCCTCCAGATCGAGCTACCGAGGGGGTTTTGCTGAAAACTCTGTGCTTCCCCTCGGCGACCTTGACACTTGATTCAATCTTGACGCACTGCCTCATCACTTACAATCTCTCATCGTTCTCTGCTCACTACAAAATCCTTGCCCTAACCTTTACCGAACGCCACTGTTCATTCGAGGTGCTATTCACCCGCAGACTATTGTCCTATTCGACTTACTATTAATCTTGAACCTCGCTGCTTCGACACCAACTTTGATAGCAACATCTTCTTGGCCACCATCGCTGCCAAGGATAACCCTCATTGTCGTTGTCGATAAGCTTCGACTAGGTTGGACCCCTTGGTCATCATCGTTCTTGCGGCTTCAACCCTCGTCCAAACCCTACCGCTACAAACTCTTGCCTCATGAAACCCTAGCAGTTCCTCCACTACAAACCTTTGCCTACCAACAACATCACTGCTCCGGTTGGTGTAATTGCACAAACTATTCATCACGCGCACACAAGGTGTTCGACGAATTACCTTAGTGAGATTTTTCGCTCCTTGGCTATCCTCTGGCCAAGCTCTCTCTAGCCAAGCGCTTTTCACTCACAAATGCTTGCAAGATCCAGTCATCGTGGCTCATCTCGCAACCGCAAGTCCGCCTCTCGCGATCACCATGCGTGACCGTCAATCACTGCTGCAACACCATACCTCACCCATTGAAAGATCAAGTCACCACGCCTACTCCCCCGACTGCAGGTTCACACTCTCGCAACCATCATACATGACTATCAATCATCACTGCAATAACATGATCTCCCTTCCTGCAATCCAGCCACCGATGTGCTCCAATTCAACCACTTCCCACCAAGCGATGCCAACAACCATCAATGCAAAAATTTTCTTAACTTATCCAAACTCAATTGTTCTTTACCAACCGTGAGTTTGACGTGGGGTATTAGATATATTAGTATTAGGATATATGCTTTCCTTTATTTTGGTCCCACATCGATTAGGATTCTAGAAAATCTCCTCTTACTCTTGTATTTAAGCAGTCCAGTACAATGAATAAAACAAGTCCTTTTTTGCTCAAAAGTTTCTTTTCTCAAAAGTCTCTTCTCTTCCCTAAAGCTCTATTCTTAACAGTACTAAACGAAACAAAATTAGATTCTTGACGACTCATAAATCTTCGTAGCAATTCTCAAAATGGAACCCATAGTTATGTTTCTTGCACTACAAAACTAATTTAGAGCATGTAGTCCAGTTAGCACTATCAATTTTTGGTTAACTAGGGATGCTTTCCAATTGAAGCAAACTATTTTAATATATTTTATATGTACTTTTCTTAGTGTCATAACTTTATTTATTTATTTATTTTGAGAGAATAGGAGGGGAAATATAATCCCAGCCTTTGTTGCATAAAAGAACGGTGACTTTATTTATTTAGTGAAACCATTTGTAATTATAATATTTGTGACATATAGACATTAAATTAGTACTAAAGTCCACTAATAGACATTGTTATTTGGCCAAAAAACTAGAAATAATTTAAAAGTGACCATAAATACTTATTAGGTAATATCTGCAAAAGATATTTCAGTTTAAGTTATTCAATTTCAGTAAATATAACATTTTCCTAATTGCGCTAGTCCAATTAGTTGCTCTTAGGCATAGAACAAGTACAATATGGGTAAGCGCATCAGCATGAAGTTCTAACTTTTCTACTTCCGAACAAAAAATGGAAGCATGAGCTTGCATCAAGAAATTTCTTACCAATAATTATATTGCCAGACTCAAGTGCTCTCCACAAACTAAAAAAATTCAACTACTTTGTTATGCGCCTTAGACTTTGTTTTACACATCATGACATCACATATTGGTACTATCTCTCTCTCTAGAAACAATATTAGTGGAGTCCACACTCATCTAATCAGAGTGCAACCTTAGTCAAAATAGCTGCGACGTGTCATCATGTGATTTGTTAGACGGTTGAGCACTAGGGGTGCTAGTATCCGAGGAAATATCCGTAAACGTATCCGTTAGGATACGGATATGGTTGCTCAACTTTATAACTGATAGGATATAGTAACAAATATGGTTTTGTAGTGAAATATCTGTATCCTATCTGAAATACCCGAATACATATTGGTCATGCTCTTATGATAGTTTTAATTCTTAGATTATGGATTTGTGGTTAATTTTGATGATCAAAATGTGTAATCCTAGCTTTTTCGCTATAATGAACATATTAACGAACTTTTTTGTATCACATGAACTATATTTTTCTCAACTATCTAGTTTTCTCATATCCGTTTTGTATCCGCATGCATATCCATTTATATATCCGCATCTATATCTGTAACCATATCCGATTTTGGCGCATACAGATATGAATTTTCCTTACCAAGTTATAGTTGTATCTGTATCCGTATCCGTATCCGAGATGGGTAAGCGGATATAAATATGGTAAACATCATATCCGAGCCGTATCCGAACCGAATGCACCCCTATTGAGCACGCCGGTATCCAACTCCGACGTCCTTTTCTTTCCCCATATGCGCCCTTGTTGCATGATATTTATTTCGCCCTCTCGCAACCATCACATGACTATCAATCACCATTGCAATAACATGAGATCGCTGCCTGCAATTCTCGCCACCGATGTGCTCCAATTCAACCGCCTCTCGCCAAGCCATGCCAACAACCATCTATGCAAAATTTTACTCATCTTATCCAAATTCACTGTTCTCTACTAACCGTGAGTTTGACAGGGGGTGTTAGATATATTATTATTAGGATATCTTCTTTCCTTTATTTTAGTCTCACATCGGTTAGGATTCTAGAACATCTCCACTTACTCTTGTATTTAAGCACTTCAATACAATGAATGAAACAAGACTTTTTTTGCTCAAAAGTCTCCTCTCTTCCCTAAAGCTCAAAAGTCTCTTTTTTTGCTCAAAATTATTAGATTCTTGACGACCCATAAATCTTTATAACAATTCTCAAAAAGGAACCCATAGTTATGTTTCTTTGCAGTACAAAACTAATTTAGAGTATGTAGTCTAGTTAGCACTATCAAATTTGGGTTAACTAGGGATGCTTTCCAATTAAATAAAACTATTTTAGTATACTTTTATAAGTACTTTTCTTAATGTCATAACTTTATTTATTTATTTATTTATTTTGAGAGAATAGGAGGGGAAATATATTCCCAGCCTTTGCTGCGTAAAAGAAAAGGTGACTTTATTTATTTAGTGATACCATTTTGTAACTGTAATATTTGTGAAATATAGTCATTAAATTAGTACTCAAGTCCACTAATAGACATTGTTATTTTTACCAAAAAATGACAAATAATTTAAAAGTGACCATAAATACTTATTAGGTAATATCTGCAACAGATATTTCAGTTTGAAAATTAGCAAAAAGCATTTAAGTTATTCAATTTCAGTAAATATAACATTTTCCTAATCGCGCTAGTCCAATTAGATGCTCTTAGGCATAGAGCAAAGCACAAAATGGGTAAGCCCATCAGCATGAAGTTCTAACTTTTCTACTTCCGAACAAAAAACGTAAGCATGATGAGCTTGCATCAAGAAACCTCTGTCATTTACCAGTAATTATATCGCCAGACTCAAGTTGCTCTCCACAAATTAAAAAAATTCAACTACTTCGTTATGCGCCTTAAGACTTTGTTTTACACATCATGACATCAGTATTGGTACTCTCTCTCTCTCTCCCTCTTAGAAACAATATTAGTGGAGTCCACACTCATCTAATCAGAACGCAACGTTAGTCAAAATAGCCGCTGACGTGTCACCATGTGATTCGTTAGACGGTTGAGCACGCCAGTATCCAATTCCGACGTCCTTTTCTTTCCCCGTACGCGCCCTACTTGTTACATGATATTTATTTCTCCCGCTTACCGACTCTCCCTCGCGTTCATATATTTCTCGTACTTTTTTTAAATCGTACTTACTGACACTAGTTAAATTAAACGATTATGATTTGTTTTAAATTTAACATATATCATATTCTCATATTTTATATTTATTTTAACTTTAGGGGCTGTTTGGTTGTATGTATTTACCATGTAAAAGTATGGAAAGTGTAAAAAAATGGGTCCGAATGTTAATTTTCATCACTTTACATTGTTTGTTTAAATTCTTTTTTACATGAAAAACTTACACCTTTTGATGAGGTGTCACCGAAAGCAAAATCACCAAAATTAGGAATGATTTTGTTGGAAAGCTGACATAATATCATAAATGTGTCCAAAAAAATAATAATAAAATTAAAACCTTGTAGAAAGTGGTGAGTTGGATACCCACTTTCCATTTTGTGTCATAAATACTTTAGTTTACATTATACTATCCAAACAATGTAATACTATTATTTTAGGATTCATAAAGATTCCTAACCAAACAATGTAAACACTCAAATGGAAAGTGGTGAGGTGGATAACCACTTTTTATTTTGTGTTATAAATACTCTAGTTTCTTAAAAGCATCCAAACAGCCCCTTAATGATCCAAACAGCCCCTTAATGATCGTTGGCTTTACTAGTAAGCTGATATCGATGTTATTTTAAAATAGGATGAACATCAATAATAAACTCAACAACCATTATAACTAACATGTACGTATTAAATAGAAAAATATTCTTACGGTTTGCACGGTGGAAAATACGAAATTTTGGAAGAAAAAGAAAGGTCTTACTTTCTAAGCTAAAATGGGAGTGATGGAGTTCGAAACAATCCGCCCTCTCCTGATCCAATTTCGGACTCCTCCCTTCTCTCTTGTATCGATCGACGACAACTCCGATGGTCTCATTGACGGTGGCACCGAGCTTCACCATCGCCCTCACCGGGCCCGGGCTCCCCTCCACTGTGACGCTCACAACCACCTTCGCCTCCTAAATTTAAAAAAACAAACAATTAACTTCAACCTAATAAAAGCTAATGGTAAATTTTATCTATGATTTCAACATTATTGTTCAAGGATTTTTGTCATTCTATGCAACCCCCCGCCCAGATCTTCTATATTTCCAATTCACACCCTCAAAACCGAACAAAAACCTTTCAAAAGTAGCATTTTGTTTGTCTCCTAGTTTTATATTAGGCGGCAGTTCTTCCCCTTTCCAAATAAAATGCAAATATTTATTAACTCGTCGAGTTAATAACATTTGGTAATAATTACGCAAGGAATATTGCAACAAGAGGTGAATTGTTCGAAATGATTTAACAGCTTCGAGGGTGTAATTTATAAATATGAAGATTCGAATGTTTATATACAATTAAAAACAACTTATGTCAACAACAAATTTTTAAAAATAACTTAGGATCTAATTTGAATTATTTATTTACCGCTTTCTTCACCTAAATTTAGTAAAATGTACGAAATAAAGTTGATTAAATTAGGAAATAAATTACAGACAATCTCTCTCATCTATAACTTAAGAAATAACGGTTACCAGCACTCAACTCAAAAAAAAAAAAAATGAAAAACCAACAACAACAACTTATCCTTTGTCAAAAATGTTAACCCAATAATGATAATTTTAAAATAAATTAAAAACAAAGTTTTACCTCCATGAAATTGGGCGGAGGCGGCGACGAGAAGAAGCCACCGTCGGTGAACGTGTGAGGACGGGGGAGGGAAATTTGCATCTTGATTTCAGCGTCATCACTAACCGCACCGAAGACGTCAGGCTCGGAGGCGGAGCGAGAGAGAATCCGTAGAGGCTG